TTTTGTTGTTTATTCCATTCCATTTTGTTTTGGTAATTATTCTATGTGTGTTTTTTTTTTTTTTTATGGTTATCAGATCAAAATTGCATTTTAGGATAGCCCTTTGAACCAATTGTGGAGATTTTGATGGCATGCAACAAATTAACATCAATAATTTGTCAAGTCGAAAGAGTCAGCCATGTCAGCTTCGGGGCATAGCTAAAATTTTCAAACGGTAAAAGACAGTGTAGTGTGATGAATGGGAGATAGGGTGACATACGGGTCTGTTTCGCGCGGGTTGTCGCTAACAATTAAAAGAAAGGTTCAGACTATTGTGTAAGAAACAAACCTCTTAAGACAAAATCCAAAAAATTGGTGCTTTATTTATGAAGATTACAATTGGAAAGAAACAAAACGCCTCCAAGAGGCACAAGCAAACGAAGTACATTGAAAGTTTGCACTTAGAAAATAAATGAAATGAAATTATATATTCTCTGTTGAGATTGATTGATTCGGGGTCTTTCCTTCTATGTCTTCTTTTCATTTTTATACTCCTTTGATGATTTTCTCTATAGAGCTGCTTGGAAACTGATTGGGGCTCTATAGCTTCCCACTTTCTTTGTGATGACTGACTTGTCAAGGAATTGCGATTCGCAACTGTTGTTCTTACTCTTGTTGGTTAATCGCTTGTAACCGAGATTTTTGGATCGTGGGATGTGATAAGGTTGTTCGATCGCTTTAATAACCGTCGTTTTAAATAATCACAAGACACCGTATTCGCTCAAATCTTGAGCGACTCAAAGGATTGGGCGAGAATGAGATCATCGCTCTGGGCGACAGTAAAACGCCTCATTCGCTCAAATCCTCGATGTCCTGTAAGTTTGGACGATGATAGTACTTTGTTTATGGGCATCCGCTATATTCTACAATGGTCTTATTTGAGCTTGTATTTTGAACTCCCTTACTGGGCTCCGACCATTTATTTGGGCTTCATTTTTTTATGTCAACATGGTCGAGTTGTTGTCAGCTGCTTGTCCCTGATCGATCAATTGACGGTTCGAGTTTGTATTTTGACCTATCGTAGGTCAAGTCAAGCTCATTTTTTTCACGAGCTAGTTCTTTTTTCTCTTTTTTTGACTTACTGTATTAGTTTCTACGAAAAATATATTTTTTTTACTTGTTTTTGAGCTTATTTTATTAATCATTTTAAATAAAACAAAAAATAGTCGATGGGCAGCTTGGCTAGGTTTATGAGATCCACAAGCCAAAGGATTGAGTTGAGCTTAGGATTTGGACAAGAGATGAGCTGAGCTGAGCTGAGCTCGGCCATGAATTGTCTCCCCCTCATGAGAGAACAATATGTCAAGTAAAGCAACTATTTGATAAATTTTAAAATTTAGTGACCATTCAAGACGAAGTCGAACTTAACGCGATCATTATTAAATAATTACACAATAACAAAGTAATAAAGATTAGGACTGTCAGTGGGCCGATTCGGTTTGGTTCTGAAGAGACCCGAACCGACCCAAAACTTTCGAGTATTTAATATATGGAACCGTCGGGTCCAAATATAATTATGGAACCGTTCGGGTTCGGTTCGGTTCCGTTCGGGTCGGTTCGGTTCCGTTCGGGTCTGTACCATAATTAATTTTTTTTAATATTTACAGTAACACTATATAAATACAATTAATTAATGACAGTTCATTCGTAACTTTT